TTTTGAAGTTATGCCGCGACTATCGTGAAATCGGTTCGAAATATGTGAACAATCATTGGGGCGTTTTTGATCGATCGTCTCGAGAACTTCCATTTTGTTACGGGAGTTTATCCGAAATTCCTACTAATTACCGAGTTAGAAGTGAAAATGTCAAATTTTAGGGCACTGGGAAAGTTTAAGGCTCACATCGCCAAACGGGTTTAGAATATCCCAACACTATTTAAGACGTTTTTCATAGAGCGTGGCGAAAACTGCATTTGCATCTGCATTTTATTCGGAAATTCATAACCTCTAAAGAGATAGGAGCAAAAAAGGCGATTTTTTTGCGGCCATCTTTCACTGCAAAGCCATGCTCTCATCTTGGCGAAATAACGGCAAATACTCAACTTAGTCAAATTCTTGATTAAACCATCCAATTGGTTAATTAATCAAGTCCTACCATTTGCTCGTGCAGTGCACCACTCGGCAGATGCATTCATCAGGAAGAAACACTCAATTTTCATTAATGGCGTGCCCGTTTTCAGCACAATACTGAATAGCTGCCGTTAAGGAATTCACTTTAGCACTAGGAAATGCTTTCAGTTCAACTACTTCTTGGCATTTTTTGTGGAGTTGATTATTTTGTTCCCATGATTAATATTTCCATTTGATAATGAAATTAGGTTTTCTTTGATTTGAGAGAATCGATTAGAAGCGATTGGTAAAGACCCAGTTACTTGCGTTGATTAGTGATTGGTGCGCAATTAGTCCAAATAAATAATGTTCACTTTTTCTGCACCTTTCACTCGACGATGTCCAAGATAAACGTGTTGTTGTGTCTAATTGAGTAATTAAGTGCGCGCCATATCGGGGGATTAGCAGCTTCAAACACATTCTAGGTGAAAACCTGGCCATTAATTGAAGTTAATCCATTTTGCAATATTAGAAATCCTCAATTATTAGTCACTGGTGGGGGGTTCGGCTAATTATAGAGTATGACACACGGGAGGCTCACAAACTTAGCCAGGCTGATGACTTTTCGCTTACAGAGAAATCGCCCAACTCGATCGGTTAATTACATTAGGAAATTAGTGGTAGTTAAATTGTCAGGCCAAAGTTTACTTCGGATTCAACCTGTCTTTAAGCAGGAAAACTCTTGTTTTATCAGACTATGAAGGCTTTCACGGCTGGCCAAATCACATTTTTAAATGTGGTTAAATGGCTTTGAAGCCGTGGTCCATGGGAATTTCTTCCTGACGTTTCGGCCACAACTGCGGTGGACATTATCAAAGGCGATGAGGCAGTGGGCGAAGTGATCTCCCGTGCTTTCCGACTAACTGAGACAATAAATTGAAATTTCCATGTCTTTCATACCTTATTGAGCATCTATTTGTGATTAAGTAAAATAACTCGAAAGAACGGAGAGTTGGTTGGCTAAAAGACAGATCAAACTAAATGAAATGATTAACACTTTCTCATTCGAATGAATCAAGCGAAATTGAATTTTCCATTCAAGAACGCAGTTGGCATCGGAAGTCTCCCTTGCACCCATAAAAGCCCGAGAGAGATGCAAGATGGCCAGCGCGTTGCTACGTGCCAAGTTGACACCTTTACGGCTAAAAAAATCAGTTTATACTGAAGCGAATCTGAGATCTCTGATTTTCGGATTGATATTTTTTGCGTCCAAACCAGTGTCGGGCCCCAACTGTTAAGTTTTTCAAGCTTTTAGACGATGGTGAAAAGAATGTCTTCCTAACGTTATGCAAGCT